TAAAAAATATATAAAGCCATGCTTTCGAACTGCTAGGTTGGCAGAAGCTGGGACAAGTAATAGGAGCTCACTCCATTATGCGGCCCTAAGGATTCAAACCGCTGAACTGCCGACCTTTCTGATCGACAAGCTCAGCGTCTTGGCCACTGAGCCGCGCCATCCCTTTATTTATGTACCATCTATATTTGGAGCATTTTGTCTTTCTAAGCATGGCTTTATATATTTTTAAAAAAAATGCAAAATCAAAGGTGTCCGTTCAGCGAGACATGTTTAAGCCCTTGGCTCGGAATCAACCAACCTAGAAATAAGGAGGAAAAAAATGCCGACAGTGAGAACAATTAACCAGTGGAATGAGTTGCCTCCAGAAGTTGTGGGTACTCCATCACTGGAGATTTTAAAGAAGAAATTGGAAAAACCATTTGTCTGAAAACGGTATAGGGTCACCTGCTTGATCAGGGGGTTGGACTAGAAGACCTCCAAGGTCCCTTCCAACTTTGTTGTTCTGTTCTGTTTAGTTCACCTCTTTCCCCAACCTGGTTGTGAACTAGGGATGCTAATTCCAGAAGATGGGAATTGCAACCTGGCGGGGCGGCTGGCTTGGTTCTCAGCCTGGAAGGGGGTGGGGTTGGACTAGAAGACCTCAAAAGGTCCCTTCCAACTTTCTTCTTCCGTTCTGTTTAATCAGTTCTTTCCCTCAACCTAGTTGTGAACTAGGGATGCTAATTCCAGAAGATGGGAGTTGCAACCTGGCAGGGCGGCTTGCTTGGTTCTCGGCCTGGAAGAGACCAGGGTTGGACTAGAAGACCTCCAAGATCCCTTTTAACTTTGTTGTTCCCTTCTGTTTAGTCTAGATTCCCCCCCCCCCACACCTAGTTGTGAACAGGGATGCTAATTCCAGAAAATTGGAGGGGGGGGGAGAGACGCTGGTTTGGTTCTCGGCCTGGAAGGGACCGGGGTTGGACTAGAAGACCTCAAAAGGTCCCTTCCAACTTAGTTGTTCTGCTCTGTCTTTCCCCAACCTGGTTGTGAACCGGGGATGCTAATTCCAGAAGACGGGAGTTGCAACCTGGCGCATCCCTCAAAAAGGCGGGGCCCGGCTGGCTTGGCTCCCAGCCTGGAAGGGGGCCGGGGTTGGAGCGCCGGCCGAGACGGAATCCCTCCCTCCCTCCCACCCTCCAGCCCATCCGCCGCCTTCGTGGGTTTGCTCCGGATCGCAGCCCCGCTCCCTTTACGGGGGCTTCCTCCGCCCCGCCTTTTTGCCACGGCGCGTTTAAGTCAGACGTGCTCCGCCCGAATCTTCCGGGCTGGGCAGATTGAGAGAGGGAGAGCGAGCGTGAGAGGCAGCTTGGGAGGTGGAGCGCTCGGCCCGTTGGACCTCGCCCGGCTCTGCTCCGGTTCTCCAGCACCCCCCACTCACCCCGACGCTCGTTTGGCCTGCCTGGCGAGGAAGCGCCCCTCTTCGGGTCTCTCCAGGATGGTGCTGAAAGTCTTCATCGCCTCTTCCTCCGGCTCCACCAAGGTAAGGGGACGCCCACCCACCCCCGCTGCCTCCCCCCCAACTTTCTTCGCCTTTGTCCCGGAGGAAAGTTGCAACCTCAGCTTCGCCCCCTCCCTCACTTGCCTAGCCTCCCCCCCCACATTGTAGAGAGAGNAGATTTGACAAACCGGTTCTACCGAATAGGTGCGAACTGATAGGAACCCACCTCTGCTCTGAACAAAATACATGAGTTTGGTTTGCCAATCCAGTCAATTTTAACTTACCGTATTTTTCGGAGTATAAGATGTGCCTTTTTGCCCCCTAAAAGAGCATGGAAATGTTGGTGCGTCTTATATACCGAATACAGCCATTTTTAGCCTCCCGAAGCCCCTCCCTCACATCCTATTTTTGTGAAAAACAAGCCATTTTTCACAAAAACTGAGACTTTTTTGCCTTCCCTCAGCCCCCAGCAGCACTCTGCAGGCTTCAGCAGGGTTGGGGCAAGGGAAAAACGGGGGCGTTTTTGCCTTTCCCCAGCCCTGCTGAACACTGCAGTGGGCTGCTGGGGGAAGGCAAAAACTTTTTTTTCTTACTTACCTCTTTGAAATCTTGGTGCGTCTTATACACTGGTGCGTCTTATAGTCCAAAAAATACGATAATCAACTAAGGGTGAAATGAATCATGGTTTAATGCATTGTTCCTTAAAATGTGGTCCTAGGACCATCGGGATCTCCTAAAAACCTCTCAGGCCACCTTACTTGCCAGGCTCTGTTGCAAATAATACAGTATTAAAATCCCTCCATACAATCATCAGAAGTGGCAGCAAAATCATTGCATTTTAATATTTAATATGGTAAATATTGATCAATAGGCCATATCCAAACAAAAGCGCTTAGGGGAAGGAATCCCCCCAAAATTTTTTCAAAGTTTTTCAAAGCGGGAAGCAGAACGTTCTGGAAATACTTATTTAACCCCAAAGCTCAGGTTTGAAGGGCTTTGATTAAGCAAAACCACAATAAACCATCTATAAAGGTAAAGGTTCCCCTCGCACATATATGCTAGTCATTCCTGACTCTAGGGGGCGGTGCTCATCTCCGCGCAAAGCTGAAGAGCTAGCGCTGTCCGAAGATGTCACTGTGGTCATGTGGCCAGCTTGACTAAATGCTGAAGGCACACAGAACGCTGTTCCTTTCCCACCAAAGGTGGTCCCTATTTTTCTACTTGCATTTTTTTACGTGCTTTCGAACTGCTAGGTTGGCAGAAGCTGGGACAAGTAACAGGAGCTCACTCCATTACGTGGCACTAGGGATTCGAACTGCTGACATTTCTGATCGACAAGCTCAGCTTCTTAGCCACTGAGGCACTGCACCCCTATTTTCTCTAGGTAAGGAACAATAAAAGAAGCCTCTCAAAAGTAACTCCACGGGTCTTTCTTGGTCCCTGGGGGGGGGACATGTTCCCCTCCAAACCAGCCCAAAGCCTCCCGCATACCGTGCATCGTTCTTCCAAGTTTCTCTTGCTTGCCTGTTGCTTTTCCTTCCAGACTGGCTCAATCTCACTGCTGCGTTGAGTTGTTTCCGCTATAAACTTCCAAGACAATTTGTGACATAAAGGAATTTTGCCAAGCGCAAATGGCAAGTCCTCTGCAGGAAGCAGATAGCGAGATGAAATGCCCTTGGCCCTGGAACATTGCCTCTGGGGTATATTAGAGAAAAGTCTGCCTTATTTCAATCATAGCCATAAAGCCAACTGAAGGAGCATCTCCCCACTTGAGCAGAGGTGTGGAACCATGACCCTTTTTATGACTTGTGGACTTCAACTCCCAAATTTTTTTTCCACTCAGGAATTCTGGGAGTTGAAGTCCACAAGTCATAAAGGGCCCATAATTCCTCACCTCTATTCTAGACAGTGGTCAGATTAAAGGTAACGGTAACGGTAAAGGTTACCCTCATGCATATCTGCTAGTCATTCCTGATTCTAGGGGGCAGTGCTGGCCTCCTTTTCAAAGCCGAAGAGCCAACACTGTCCGAACACGTCTCCATGGTCATGTGGCCGGCATGACTAAATGCCGAAGGCGCATGGAATGCTGTTACCTTCCCACCAAAGGTGGTTCCTATTTTTCTACTTGCATTTTTTACATGCTGCTAGGTTGGCAGAAGCTGGGACTAGTAATGGGAGCTCACTCCATTATGCAACGTTAGGGATTCGAACCGCCGAACTGCCAACTTTCTGATCAACAAGCTCAGCGTCTTAGCCACTGAGCCACCATATCCCACNGTGTTTTGGGCAGAGCCTATAATTAAAAAACTGTTTTTAGGCAGGCTGAGACAATGGTGTAGGCAATTTGTCTTAGCATTGAGATTATGCCTGAAATTTTACTCTACAAAATGCTAAACAGGGAGGAGGAAGAAGAATGTTTTGTTCCTCTTCTCTTTCTTAAGTATCAAAGCTTTTAGAAGCCATCTCTGCAGTAGAAATATTAGCTTTCACCCTTTAATCAATAACCCCAAATGAAATATTTCAATTAAGATTTTAATTGCAGCTGCTGCTTCATCCTTTCTTTCTGGTACCCTGTGCTTGTGTTTCATCTCTTTTTCTCCTTCATAACTACATTCCTGATTATAGGTAAGTCCTCCACTTACAACGGTTCCTTTAGTGACTGTTCAACGTTACATCGGCAATGAAAAAAGTGACTTACGACCAATTGTCACTCGTTGAAGCATCCCCAGGGTCCCCTGATCAAAAGTCAGACGCTTGGCAATTGACTCACATCTATGACGGTGGCAGTGTCCCGGGGTCCCCTTTTGTTACTTTCTGACAAGCAAAGTCACTGGAGAAGCCAGATTCACTTAACAACAGTTTGACTAATTTAACAACCACAGTGATTCGCTTAGCAACCGTGGCAAGAAAAAGGTCGTAAAATGAGGGAAAATCATTTAACAGGTGTTTCACTTACCGTAGCAAGAGAAATGTTGGGCTCAATTATGGTCGTAAGTTGAGGACTCCCTGCATAAACTCCTGAGGCAGGTATTTTCCTGTAGTTTATACTAATTTAACTCTTCTTTGAGGATTGTCCATAATAAACAAACTCCATGAAAATGGCTGTTTCATTGGCCATATGGAGATTCCCAACAGGCACAAACTTGAACCCACACAGCAGGGGGGGAGGGGCTGGGGAATTCTGGGAGTTGAAGTCTACATATTTTAAGTCAAGTTTGGAAAAACAAAACCACTGACTTAAAGTGAAAGATGCTACAGGTGATCCCCAATATACCGTATTTTTCGGAGTATAAGACGCACCTTTTTGTCCTCAAAAAAGAAGCTGAAAACCTGGGTGCATCTTATACACTGAATACAGCATTTTTTTGCCTCCTGAAACCCCGTCCCCTTTACCAAAATGGCCATGCATAGCTTGTAGGCGGCTTTCAGAGAGCTGCTGGGGGCGGGGGAGGGCAGAAATGTACAAAAAATGGGCCGTTTTTTGCTCAATTTTGCCCCACCGGCCCCCAGGAGCACTCTATAAGCTTCCTAATGTCCTTTTTTTGAGAAAAAATGGGCCCATTTTCTCAAAAAATGGAACATTTTTTTTTGCTTGTTTTGGGGGCCTCACCTCCCCAGGAACACTCTACAAGTCTCCTAAGGGCTATTCATGCCCTTTTTTGGGGGGGGGGAAACAGACCCGTTTTTGGGAGGTTTGCAGAGTGCAAAAACTTTTTTTAAAAAAATTGCCTCTTCAAACCTTGGTGCATCTTATACTCTGAAAAATTTGGTAATAATCCCAGTTGAGACCAGAATATTCATTCTTAAGCAAAGCAGCTTTTAAGTGAGTGACGCCTAATTTTATGACCTTTTTTTGCCACAGTTGTTAAGTGAATCAGTGCATTTGTTAAATGACCCATATGGTCATTAAATGAATCCAGTTTCCCGCATTGACTTTGCTTGACAGAAGCCAAAGGGGGAAAATTGGAAATGTGATCACATGGTCCTGGCTGCAACCATCGTAAACCATACGTACTGGTTGTCAACGGCCCAAAGTTTTGATCGTGTTTTGATCGTGTGACCATGGGGATGCTGCAGTGGTTGTAAGTGTGGAGAGCAGTCATAACTCACTTTTTTTTAGTTGTAACTTTGTTGTAAATCAAGGACTACCTGGAAGGGCCTGCAAAATGAATGGAATGGTACAACTTGCCACAACCAAATCGTCACTGGCAACTCTCTGCAAGACAATTTAACAATTCTATTTAATTATTTAAAATATCTATCTATATCTATATCTATCTATCATCTCTCTCTCTCTCTCTCTCTCTCTCTCTCTCTCTCTCTCTCTCTCTCTGTCTATCTATCTATCTATTTATTTAATTTTTGCCATTACCATTTCATGCTAAGAGCCGCAGTGGTGCAGTGGTTAGAGTGTAGTGCTGCAGGCAATTTGGCAATTCATCAATTCATATCTCACCAGGCTCAAGGTTGACTCAGCCTTCCACCCTTCCGAGGTGGGTCAAATGAGGACCCAGATTCTTGGGGGCAAGAGACCGACTTTGTAAAACCGCTTAGAGAGGGGTAGAAAGCATTGTGAAGTGGTATGC